AGGAGCCGGCTCCTCTTTAACAGTTTCCGGCTAAAACATTCAGTCATCAAACTGCCGTAGAAAATCGAGTTTATGAGGATATTTTCTAATGAAACATCTCTGCGAGATAGGGCACGTCATATGCTAAGAGGTCCTCAGCTAAGCCGGTAGGGGTCGTATTTGGTCGCTGGAGGCAAAGGGTCGCAAGTGATTCTAAAATGCTTTTGGTTGTTAGTGGTCCTCGGTTTTCCTTTCCGCGAGCGGTACTTATCCCTACACCTGGACGGTAATTGAGAAAAAAAGAAACTCCGGAAAAGAGATCGGAAGGGTAGGAAGTTGGAACAGTATGGGGAGATGGTAGATAGAACTGGCGGTAGGGAAAGGGGGGAATACTAGAGGAGGAAAGGATGAGGGATTCGCATTTTGCAAAATTTTCCCCAACGGCAGGAAGTGCCCTGCTGCGAGATCACATTTAAATGGCCAGTCGACCTTTTTTCACAAGAAAAATCTTTCGTAGAAAACGCACCTCTTCCTTATGTTTGGCAAAATTAAACCCTGGAATATTTGGCAGTATGCCGGCCAAATCGTCGGTCATTGGAGAATCGACATCATGTGAGTGTACACGATCTAAACATTCAATACTTATGCACGCTTTATCGTCCATTTGAACCTGATGAGTTCAAAGTCGAGGAAGACGGCGCTGTTCAGGTTTGGGAGGGGTATTTTGTTCTGTACTAGATCGTTCTGCTAGTTCCTGTTAAACCACACGCTTGACTTCGTGAGGCCCCCTGCAGCTCCTGTCAAGTGTAAACGAAGCTCCTGTTACCTTGTAGTAGCTTCACAGAAAATTACACGTCATAACAAAATGCCAGTGGCAACTAGCAAAATGCCCCCACCAAGCCGAACTGTGCCAAAATAACTTCTTAATTTGTAAAAATACAAGAAAAAATGCACAAGTCAGGCACATCAATACAGATCGACAGTAGTAATAATCATCTGGTACTGCACAGGGGATAAAAAACCCACCCCTAAATCCGCCTCCATCCATTGGAAGCATATCATCGTCATAGTCGAATTCTTGACTACCTGTACTGAATTCTCCCATCGATACGCGATCATCATCTGTTTGAGTGGTTTTAGAGTATTGTGCCTAAAGACAAACTTATTGGTGCACTTGAACTCATTTCCATATTAACTGCCCATAGACAGAAGCAAAACGGTCCACTCTAAGAGTAAACCGACACTTGAGAACATGGATGGGCTTCCGCCCCTGCGAACCAACCTTTCTACCTTCCGGAGGACGGTAAATTGGTGCCAGGTCCGCCCAAGAGGGGAAGAATACTGATTAGTATTAGGTTGTCCGGAAAGTTCTCAGCGTTTTGAGTGTTTCACTTCAAACGATCATAACTTTCTTAATACTCATCGGATTTAATCGAAATAGGCACCGTTCGAATCAGCACACTTTTGCCAATGTGAAACCATTCGATAAATCCCATCAAAGAACTAACTGGGTGGCCGAGAATGCCACAAACTCGACAAAGGCTTTTTTGCCTGGTCCTGATTGATGAAGTATTTTCCAGCAAGGAAGTTCTGAAAATGTTTGAAAAGGTGATAGTCGGTTGGTGAAAGTCTGGAGAATATGGATGGGTGAGGTAGAACTTTAACACCTAATTCGTTCAATTTATGGATAGTGGTTTTTGTGAAACGTGTAGGCGGGCATTGTCATGCAAAAGAATCGGACCCTCTCTCTGTTGACAAAGTGCTGGCTGCAGCTGACGCAATTTTCGGTAAATTTCGTCGATTTCTTCACAGTAGGACTCTGCTGTGATGGTTTGGCCTGGTGACAAAAAGTTATAGTGGATCACAACAAGCCGATGACGCACGTCACACTGTGGACTGACCTTTTTTTGGTGCAAAGATCCTTGGAAACTGCCTCGGTGGTTCGTCGGCGTCCAACTACTGTCCGTAACGTCTCCTGTTATCATACATGATCCACTTTTCATCACAGGTGACAATTCGGTCCAAAAACGGGTCGTTTTCTGTTGCGCAAAAGCAGTGAAGAGGAAACCTCGAGATGTGCCAATTTCTGCCGGTCACTCACTTGTTGGGCACCCACTTGTCGAGTTTTTTCACCTTCCCAACGCGTTTCATACATCTGAAGCTGGGATTTGCCAACCGCCTAGGCTTTCTGCAATCTTCGTCGAGCTGTTTGGCGGATGGTCAGCCTCCGCAAACTCCTTCAAATCCTCGTCAGGTATTGCTTTAGGTCGGCCGCTACGAGGTTCATCTTCAGGGATGAAATCTCCAGAACGAAATTTGTCGAACGATTGCGCACGGTATTTGGGTATATTTTGTTGAACTGTCCCGATGCAGATTGACAGCCACAATTTTTAGTCGAAGAAAAATATCGTCCGAAGTTGCTCTTTTGACATGCATCAAAAAGTCTTGGGAAAAAGGGGTTTATCAAGCATTGGTGAAACGGCAATTATACCATCAGATAGCGCAAAAAATTCTCTTCAGGATGTACTACTGAGACGCAAGGGAGAGTGAGTTTTTAAATCAGCAATGAATGTACAAAAAATAGTAACA